TATTTTCGTCCCTTTAAATGCCAGAATACCCACAATATTTGTAAAATGATAAAGTGCAAAATAGTGCTCTTTTTAAAACTTCTTAAAAGAACTGGAAGGCCACAGAAAAACACTAAAGATGCATAAAAAGAAAACACTGTAAATAGCTTACATATAGTAAACCAGGACTGTCCAAGAATGATAGTTTTTAAGTATATGTTTTTTTAATCCTTTTCAAGACCATAAAATCCCATATCCGAAGTAAAATGTCACCTTCAGATCCTTCTTTTGACTACAATAAAAACTGGTCAGAATGCCACAAGCCCCAAAACTCATTGTTACCTATTTATTCCACAAACACTCGATGAATAAAGAGACATACCACACTTGCGTCTGTTATTATAAGCTATTGTAATATAACAACAAAAACACCTATCTTGGTTTTTCAGGTTCTCAACTTTGCCACTTGTTAACTAGACGACTTATCCATGAGGAAGCCTGAACTCAGAAAAACTAAGTAACTACCTTTTGAAAGCAATTTCAATGAGAATAAAAAGGAAAACTCCATGTGGTGACAAGTTATTCTTTGGAGTATATGCTGTCACTCTACAACAATGCGAAATATGTTTACACTTTAGAGAAGAAAAAGCCAAGAAGATAAAGATAGCTTAAGAGGTCCACACTAGCCAGAGAAGAGATCTTGCACATTGTCTCACTCCTATACCTATGATACTTCCCAAATACCTGGTGATGTCTCCTACCCAGTTTGTGAAACTTAAGAATCAAAACAGTATGAGTACATTTAACAGTTTGTAACAGCCTCCATTACATCGTTTTGGCAATATTACTTTAATATTCTCAAATATAATATAGTTCAAAAATGTCTTGAAGTACATCATATCCATTTTGTTATTCAAGTTGAAAATACAATTATATGAAAAAACTCAATTCATAGTTTAGGCTCCAAAAAATTATAAACTAAACTAACTGAAAAACTTAATAGGGGCACAGCATTTTTTAGTCCTGTTTGAAAAACAAGATTCAAAATCATTGGTTCTCTGAGCCTCAATTTTAAATCTTTCCATTTCCAATATGTATCTAGCACTCCAAAATACAAACGAGAACACAATGAAACACACAAACTGCTAATTTTCACAGAAGTCTTTGATAAATGTAAAGATGGGGTTTTTAAAAAATACTCATCAGTACAATAGATTATTTGGCAATAAAAGGAATGAATTAATAATATATATTACAACATGGATGAACCTTGAAAACATTAGGCTAAGTGAAATAAGCCAGTCACAAAGGCCACATATTATATAATTCCATTCATGTGAAATGTCCAAAATACACAAATCCATAGATACAGAAATTTCAATTAGTGGGTGTCTGGGACTGGGGGAAGGAATTGGAAGGTAAATGGAAAGTAACCACAAGTAAGTAAAACCTTTCTTTTGGGGATGAATTTGTTCTAAAATTAGACTATGGTAATGGTTGCATGATTTTGTAAATACATTAAAATCCACTGAATTGTATAAACTGGTGAACTTTATGATATACAAATGACATCTCAATAAAGCTGTTTTGAAAAATAATCAATTAGATCAGCTCACATCTTTGGCCCTCAGAAGTATGGAGTAGTGGTTAAAAGCACTGATGGAGCCATACTGCTAGCCTCTATCACTTACTAACTGTGCAATCACGGACAAGTAAGTAGCCTCTCTGGGCTACCTCTGAAAAATACAGACGATACTGCTTACTTCACAGGATGAAGTTAGCTAACATATGTAAAGCACTCAAATCACCATCTGGCTTTTATTAGATGTTATATGAGTTATTTTTATTAATGAGCCTTTTTCAAGAGAGGAGGGGAGAAATCTTCCCTTACAGTTGAACCAGAAATTAATGGAAAATTATCCTTAATAATAGTTACTTTTCAAATCTAGGATGTACATGAATAACGAAGTAGATACCACAAAAATCTAGGGGAAATACAATATGTAATTTATTGTTTCTCAATTTATAAACATTATCTTGTCTTAGTTTTAATCTACTTTGTAATCCTAGTTTATTCCTTCAAGCAGCCAATTTCATAAAATAACATTAAAAACAAACATATAATTTAAACCAATCTGTTGTAATAATCCCAACATATCCAATTCTTTTAATTCACTGAGTTAAAGAATTGTAATTATCAGAATTTCATTTAGTTTTAATTATTAGAGCACTTTAGAGTGATAAAAGTCAATGTGATAAAAGATGAAAAATTTTATTAATAAACAATTACAGACATTTAATTTACTTTTATTTTTTGTCAAGTATGGAATAGGTAATAAGCTAGTCATATTATTTTATAAAAGAATCGAAATGCAATAAATTTCTATTATGAAGAAAATGAAGGTCTCTGCTTATTACATGGAGTATCCATTATAAAACTTTAAATGAAATTATAGATGATACATCAGAACAATCTTTCAGATATTCAACAGTTTATATACTCAGTACCTCAAATAGAAGACCTCTAGAACTACTATAGGATTCATACCATGGAACAGATTTAAAACAAATGCCAAGAAATGTCACAGATTTTATAAGCCATCCAACCAGACCAGTTTGAAAGTCTGGAGCTGTAGCAGCCCAGCAGGAGACTAATTTTGGAATATGAAGCAAATTCATAAAAAAATAAAAAATAAAAAATAAATAAAAAAACTAAAAGTCCGTTGACTAGTAACAAAGAGGAACAAAGAGGAACTATCTCTCCTGGCAAACACGTTTTATCCCCAGAAATAAACAATTGTCACCACATATGTTTTATAATTTAGTTTTTTTGGTTACAGTATATATGCATTATACTTTTAGAATCTGAGGGAAATGCTATGAATTTCCACTCCTGTCGGATGACACTTTATATTTTAGTCCTTCCTTGATGATTCTCTGGTTCATATTATGAAAAATAGTAAAATAATAATAGCTACTTACATTTAGGGAGAACCTCCCATGCATCAAGTACCATTCCAGGTACTTTTATCAACCTTTTCTATAATATGGAGCATCATTTAAAAAATCACTTTCAAGTGCCTCCCAGAGAATATGCCCCAATGCAAGAATGGCAGCAGAGAAGTGGTCTCCTCCAAGATTAGTGACTGTCATCAAGATTTAAGAGTTGCCATAAAAACTTCTGCTGAAGACCTCTTCTGAGCGCCAAGGCCACAATCTCCTACAAGTTTTGCTTCATTAATCCCCTGACCTCAGTCTACCACTTTAGTCTTGTCTGTAGTCCTTAACCCCTTTATCACCTGGAAAGGACAGAGAATGTGAGACTGTTTAAATTTCAGCTACTACTCAAATGAACCACAGAAATGGCCTGATGTGTGTATATATATGTAATTTCACATAAATGAAGGTCTATCATTCTGCCATTCCTATTCGCACAATCATCCATTCTTTTCTTGGATTTCAAAGTAATCAGAGTTAAAACCCCAAAGGCCACATTTCAGGATATTCTTGATCTCATGGGCTTAGGACATGGTGAAATGGGCCTTTTTCATGAGTTACCTATCTCACCTTGATCCCTCTGGCTTGTAATACAGTGGGGAAAAAAAAAAAAGATTGACATTACACTTTGGAAAACTGCCAAATCCAGGTATAAATCATGAGAAAAATATGTAAAGAATGGAGAAAAAGAGAGTAATAACTACACAAAGCAGCAAGAGATTACAACAAATGAGTTAAAAAAAAAAAAAATTAGCTGAATGTCCTAATAGTCATGGAGGGCACGTATTATGAGATTTCACTGTATTTTAATATTTGGTATACCTGCTTGAAAGGTTCAAATGAAAAAAAGTAGTTCCTTAACCAAATGGAAAATCCTACTCCTACAGTCCTACAGTCTGCTGCAGGACACTAAAAGTAAAACTGGCAAATACTTGCATATTTTTAACTAAAAAGACTAATGATAGAAAAGACAGAAGTGAAGACTTCACAGACATTTATAAGGAGATTTGTAAATGTACACAGTATTTGACATTATGTTTACCCTCTAACTCAAAAGAGCAATCCTCAAACAAATAGAACAAAGCAAGGAAAATCTTTTCAGAATTTAAGACTTACTTGCATAACATCTCTGCCCAGGTGTGCAATATATAACCACTCCACTGGAGTATAAAAATGTTTGAGAATCACAGGACTAATAGTTCATTTAGCAATTATTAAGCAATTGCTGGAGGCCTTGTTGAACAAAAGGATAACAGAACAGACCCCATCCTCAGGAAACAACAGCTCAATACTGTCAATGGGCGTAAGTATATCCCACCAGCTCTACTATAAGTGAGACTGTAATATGTATGATCACAGTCTGTGTAAGTTTCATCAGAACAAATTGCTTTTCTTGTGAAAATATTAAACAATTCAATGACTAGATAACTGTTTTTTCACTGTTTTTGGCTTCTTACAAGTCTATTTCTATTACTAATGAAGCCACAATGTTTTCTGCTTGCATTGTACCTGTCTCTCTCTTTCTTAGCTCAAGGAATTCTGCCAACTTTAACTAGTTTGTTTCTTAGGATAATATAACATTTCTCCCATTAAAAATTTCAAAATTTTGTCTAATACTACATCTTATTTCACCAAATTACACTTTTTTGAAAAGTAATTTTAACTTATGTATTCTATTTTTCCTTTATTCAGTGCTTATCATTTCTAATTGTATTTCTAAACAAGAACAAAAAATCTATCAAGTATTCTACAATTAGATGTAAAACATCTGGAAATAGTTGTCAGGGACTACCTCAACAAGCCTGGTACCAAAAGTCTAAAAGTATTTTAACCATCTTACAAACATAAAAGCAGCTGTGGCAGAAGGTTAATAGGAACTGACCTGTTCTTGTATAAATGTCTATCTAAAAGGCTACTTTTCTCAATACCTGGTTTTTGCTTACTTAATTGGTTCAGCTCTTTAAAAAGGTGGGTTTCAGGCAATATACTATCAACTTCAGTCAGTTACACAAGACACAACTAACCTTTTGTTCCGCCTGCAGTTGGTCACATCTTTCCTTCTCATGGTTAAGTTCTCTTTCCATTTTCCCAACTTGTTCTCGAAGTTGTGCTGTTTCTTTTTCCAGAACGGCAATTAACTTTAACAGTTCTTCTTTTTCTTTCATGGTTTTCTCAATTTTCAACTATAAAGCAAAAAACTCAAATTAAATAGTTTTTTGCTTAATCCTAAAATATGTTATTACAAATTTAGTTTTCCATTTCCAAAAAAAATAGTGAAGACTTTCACAGAAAGAACTTTTACATTCTACCTACTTAGACTTCAGTTAGAAAAATTCAACAATCATAAATTTAAACCTTCTTTTGGTTGAGCAAAGAAGAAAATATTAAAAGAAGATATAAAATGAGAGAACTGTATTATGAAGTTGGCTGCTAATCATTTTTGAGATCAAAACTAAAAAAAAAAAGGCATATTAATTTTTCCGTTAATTACGGGACTTTCTGATCCACAGTAATAATCAGATACTCCGAGAGGAAAAGTTGTACCTCTTCTGGAATGCAAACCTATAGGAAATCTTTGAATCTATCACAAACTTATATGGTATATATGGCCTTCATCTATGGAATTACTATTGAAAGTGCTGATTCTTTAAGACATCAAGAAATTTATAGGTTCTATATATAAAATGGCCTCTACTTGGCTAAATTAAAACACTCTTCATAAGTAAAAATACAAATTTTAGGACAAACATGCAGACTGTAACAATATATTAACAATATACCTGATTCTTACAGGAACAGCCAATAGTTCAGGAAAATATGAACTTCAATATTCTAAAATATTACTAAATTAATGGTCCTAAGATAGTAAAACAAAGTTTAATATTTCTCTTACAGGAAGAATGAAGACTCAGAGGGAAGACTTAACAAAGGTGGTATTATACATTTAACTGGTAAAATGTTTTTCCTCCATATACCCTAAATTGGTTTTCCAGGGTCATGGGATTATGAAATTAAACTGATTAAATTCTAAAATGGCTCTTATCAAAGTTGAATAGCTGCAAACTTTCTGAATGACTCTTCTACCTGTTCCAACAAATCAAACCAAAATGCCAGGAAAAGTTTATTTATTCAATCATTGAATTTCTTTTATATCTTATCTATTTTTTAAAAATGATTTGAAGTAGATTGCAATAAATGGCATTCAATAAAGTCAACAGAAAATTAGAAACAGGCAAGTATATTACCCATAAAGGTTAGTATCATTATTAATTTGGCATTAAGTCTGGCTCAAAACTATCTGGCAGCTTAAAAATAAAGATATATCTTGACAAAGCACAACACAGACTTTATAAAAGAATCACCTTTTCCAGTGATTTATTTAATTCACATATACTTTCTCGAGTTCACTAAAGCTTAAGTAGACATTTTAGAAGAATTCAAATTAGATAAGAACGTATATGTCTCATTTCTTGCCTCAATTTTGTATTTTGAAATATGTTAAGAATACAAAATAGTTAAAATTTTACAATGATCATCCAAACATCCATCACCTAAATTCACTAATTATTAATATCTTACCATGTTTATTTTATCTCTCTTTATATACTTAAGCTTATGTATCCTTTTTTCTTCTAAGCCATTTGAAATGAAATTGCAGACACTTCACTCCTAAATACTTCAGAGCAAGCATCACCTAATAAGGACAGTGGCTTTAAACCACCACTATTATTATAGCTAAGAATATTAAGAATAATTTTATATTCCCCAATAGGCCATAGTCAAATATCCCTCATTATTCCCCCAATTTTTTTTTTAATCTAGGATATAATCAAGGTCCACACATGGCAAAATTATGTCTCATTAATCACTTTTAATGTCAACAGGGCCCCAGATAATGTCTCACATTTGTACTAATTTTGTGCAGTTTTAGATAAAACAAAAACTTTAATGAATGTGGGGATTTTAAAGACTCATCAAAATATTGGTTAAAAAAATTTAATCTTAGAAATACTTAAGAAACAGCAATTTTCATTTTCTTTATAAAGTACCCTTTGCAAAGTAGGAAGGAGTGAAACAGAATGTGGTATGTCTCAATCTACTTGAAGAAAAAGTACAACATAGATGTGAATGCCAAAATGCCCATCACTTTTCTGTTGGAGGCCCTGAAATGAGGGTGGTCTAATAAGTATTCAAAAAGCTACAGTATAAATACTAACTGCATTCTTAAGATCTGGGCTTGTTTCAGCATCTTTGAATGGCATTCAAATACAAAGCTAAAAACCTTGATCATCAGGCAGTTGCACCACAAAATGTTTTAGTCACCCTATAAAAGTTACATTTCTTTAAGATAAGAGAGGAATTTCTGGAAAAGGGAAGGAAAGATATGAAAGAATTCACAATAAAAAATGATTGGTTCCTCCTAACCTAGTTTGACTGTCTAATAAAAGTATTATATCTGTAGCCTCTTGTCTTTTTGCTCCAGTCTCAGTTCTTTGAGGTAAATAAAAGTAAAATCAAAGGCATTAAATATTTACATGTTAAAAAAATCTATCCAACTATAAAAAAAAAGCAATGGCTGCAATAGAAGAAATATGAATATAAATTAGCCAAAAATGTATAATGAACCAATTTGAGAAGCTATTTTTCTTACTATTATAATAGAGGGCACTATATATAATTAATCACAATAACTCAAATATAGCTGTAGTTTTTTAGGTATAGGATAAAGATACTGAAAAATGTGATCTTAAAATGAGAAAAGAATGTCACTCTATTTTCTCTGTCAATGACTACTAAAAATTAATACATAAGGCATTATTAGACCATCTACACAGTAAATTTATATTGAAGCCATTATCATGACTCCATAATATTATATTTACAAAAACAGTAAATAATAAATAGCTTTTTAAATTTTCTTTTTAAATTATGGTTAATCTAGGCTTATCCATTTCATCAGAAGCGCAACAACAGGAATCATTCTAAAAATGCTCAATCTAAATTAAGAGACTGGGAAGCTCTCCTGCCTCACTGCCACACTTTAGAAAGAGAATGCTCACGGTAGTGAAACCAAGTTCACATCCTTACAGTTAGATTTACTGATTTATACCATTATCCCAAGCAGCTTCATCCTCAAATTGGTAACATTCTACAATGAAATGATTACGCACCACAAAAAGTTAGGCAAAGGAACGTAAGGAAAGCTTTAGACCTAAACTCTCCCAATTGGTACTTACTGCACTATCTACTATGCACAAAATAAGGGCAGGCCCTAGGGACAGTCCCTGCCACAGTGGAACCAACAGCATAATTATGGCCGAAAGATTTTTTAAGCATTTCAAAAAAGACACTCTATTTTAGTTAAAAAGCATTGGATTTTTTTTTTTTTTTTGAGACGGAGTCTCGCTCTGTCACCCAGGCTCGAGTGCAGTGGCGCGATCTCGGCTCACTGCAACCTCCGCCTCCCGGGTTCAGGTCATTACCCTGCCTCAGCTTCCCGAGTAGCTGGAATACAGGCGCCCGCCACAACGCCTGGCTAATTTTTTGCATTTTTAGTAGAGACAGAGTTTCACCGTGTTAGCCCGGATGGTCTCGATCTCCTGGCATCGTGATCCTCCCACCTCGGCCTCCCAGAGTGCTGGGATTACAGGCGTGAGCCACTGCATCAAGTTAAAGCATTCGATCTTTGTGGCAACTCTCACGTAACCTTAAAGTTCTTAAAATGCCAACCGACATGAGCTCTGTTCTTAAAGTTATCAGTGAATCACTATCTCACTGTGAACACCAACCTCAAGAAGGCCTGCTTTTGTGGTCACCACTAACATGTCAGAATTTCCTTCATCTTCCATAGTAAGCAGCTCTTCAACTGGAGAAGAAGCTCGAAACTGGAAAGGTGTACTTGCTCCACGAATTTCACCCTTATGGGTAACATAACAGAACTGATAAAATTCTCCATCATCATTTGGAAGGTAATATCCTAAGAGGAAGTTAACAAACAAAATTATTAAACTTCCTATTATAAAATTCATGTTATTTCAATTTAACAATACTTGCCGTATCTCATTCCGCACACTGTTCTTGGCATGTATCTGGGATATGTCCTTCCTCCTTTCACAAATTATCAAAACTAGACTCTTCCTTCCTCCTTAAAGTTAAAATTTTTCTTCTCTTAGGTTTAAGCTTATATTCCCAGAATATCCTTTCCCCTTGTATCTTCTAGGGCAAAACCCACTCATCTGGGAGAAGCAAGTATATACTTTACAATGGGAAACAGGCTGGAGGAGAAGCAAGGGAAGAACCAATATAAAAATCTACTGAGGACTGGGAGTGGGGATGGGAATATGTCATTTAAAGAAATCTTCCCTCCAATTTGACATTCATTACATGTAAATGAGAGATATTAACTAAAGGAATATGCTGCACATGTGAACTATATGAAGGCAGAAAAGAAGATGAGGTCTGCTAGTGCAGTATGGTAAAAATAAGCTTTAGAACCCAGTGCAGTGGCTCATGCCTGTAATCCCAGCACTTTGGGAGGCCAAGGTGGACAGGTGACTTGAGCCAGGAGTTCCAGACCAGCCTGGCCAACATGGTGAAACCCTGTCACTACAAAAAAATACAAAAAATTGCCAGGTGTGGTGGCATGTGCCTGTAGTCCCAGCTACTAGGGAGGCTGAAGTGAGAGGATCGCTTGAGCCCAGGAGGTCAAGACTGCAATGACCCATGATGGTGCCACTGAACTCAAGCCTGGGCGACAAAGTGAGACCCTGTCTCAAAAAAAAAAAAAGCTTTAGAACCCCACAGCTCTATTCAGAATTCCAGCTCTACCACTATTATTTACTTAACCTCCCTGAGCTACAGGCTCTTAATCTGTTAAAAAAAAAAAAAAAAAAAAAACCAGGGGTGGTGGCTCATGCCTGTAATCCCAGCACTTTGGGAAGCTGAGGCGGGTGGATCACCTGAGGTTGGGAGTTTGAGACCAGCCTGACCAACATGGAGAAATCCCAACTCTACTAAAAATACAAAATTAGCCAGCGGTGGTGGCGCATGCCTATAATTCTAGTTACTCTGGTGACTGAGGTAGGAGAATCGCTTGAACCTGGGAGGCGGAGGTTGCAGTGAGCCAAGATCGCGCCTCTGCACTCTAGCCTGGGCAACAAGAGCAAAACTCCATCTCAAAAAAAAAATTAAAGAAAAAAAAAAGGCTATCTGTCTCAGAGATCCAAAATATTAACAAATAGATAATATATTTATAGTATCTAGAATAATATGTTCAATATTTGCCCCCTTCTTTCCTCAATTTGTTATTCCATTTTAAATTTTGCTGGATTATTGTAACTTAAAATTAATCTTTGTCTCCCCCTCAAAGCTCACACAGTACTTTTTACATTAAAAAATAAACATCTCCTATCGCTTCTCAGCCTTTTTGGCTAAGATCAAGTGTAAAAACTACATACCTCCACAGTAAACCTAACATTACTGGTTACTATGTACATGCCTTACAACTACATCAGACCTCTAAAACACCGTAGATACCACACATACACATTGAGGGCACATGTATGTGTATATATTTGTGCATATACATATTAAAAAATTGAGAATTCCCCACAATGACTTGTAAAAAGAAAACATTCAATAATTGTGAAACGAATAAACAAAGATAAATATCTTACCTTATTAATATCTACCCCAAAAGCTATAATCACTATGCTTGCTATTCTTTCATGCCTTGAAATTTTCAGCCTCAGTTATTATACCTACTTCACCTGATTTCACTCTTTAAAAAACAGCTGGCTGTTCTCCTTAGAAACAGAGAGGACAGGCCGGGCACGGCGGCTCACGCCTGTAATCCCAGCACTTTGGGAGGCTGGGGCGAGCGGATCACGAGGTCAGGAGATCCAGACCATCCGGGCTAACACAGTGAAACTCCGTCTCTACTAAAAATCCAAAAAAATTAGCTGGACGTTGTGGTGGGTGCCTGTAGTCCCAGCTACTCAGGCGGCTGAGGCAGGAGAATGGCGTGAACATGGGAGGCAGAGGATGCAGTGAGCCTAGATCACGCCGCTGCACTCGAGCCTGGGAGACACAGTGAGACAGGCTGTGTCTCCCAGAAACAGAGAGGACAGGCAGACAATATATCACATAAGATAAATTCTTATGGCACTTTAAAGCGAAGTAGTAGTCCACAAAAAGAAATTAGGAGGGGTGGAGCATGTCAAAAAAAGTACAGGAGCCTACTTGAAATGCTCCAATGGCTAAAGCTGAAACAAGTAACAAAAAAAAATACGGTATTAGACTTTATTTCACAGAAGAAATTAATGATTCCATGGAGAAGACGACAATTCTAACATAATGATCAACTAATAAATATACAAGTAATGAACTTCATTAGACAAACACCGCAATAATCGTAGGCAAGATGCACGGAGGGATACTAAAATTAGTGGCTGAAAATATGAGGAGAAACAACATATTTCCACAGTCTCAAAGTAGCTCCCTTTTAATATGCATTAATTACAAGGGGAAAAAAAATAACTTTATTTACAGTGGAGAAACCCAGAAGACACAATCTTAAGCAATCAAGATTATTATAACCAGTAATAAGATATATGGACATCACATACTCCCTGATAAAATGTACTGAGAAAGGTATGGTACTATTTCTATGGCATTCTTCCCAAAAATGCATAACTTCAATCTAATGATGAGAAAACAATGAGCAAAACCAAGATGAGAGACAAGCTACTACCAAAACAAACAACAACAACACAAAATGCTAACAGTACTTTACAAGAAAGTAAAGGTTATGAAAGATAAGGAGAAACCAAGGAGACTAAGACAACATGACAACTAAATGCAAAGAGGGATTAGGGACTGGATCTAAGAACAGAAAAAGAACAGTAATGGAAGCACTGGTGAAATCTGAGTAAGGCTTGTACTTTAGTCAATAGTACTATACCACTATTAAACTACTGTTTTCTTAAATAAATGTACCATGGTCATGCAAGATGCTCACATGAGAGGAAGCTGGGCAAAGGGCATACAGAAATTCTGTGAACTACTTTTGCAAGTTTTCTTTACATCTAAAATTACTTCAAAATACAAAGTTTAAATAAGCAAATATCATAGACATGTATCTGGCAATATACATTTTTAAGGTTTCTAAAAATCCACCCTCCTAATCTCTACTAAAAACTTACTAATTCATACCAACTTCCAAATAGCCACTAGGCTTACTTAAAAGCTTAACTAGAAAACAAATATACAGCATAATTAATCAGCTCTGGCAACAAGACATTAGAAACTCTACAAACTAGGTATTCAAGGTCTGATTCTTTTTTTTTTGAGACGGAGTCTCGCTGCGTCACCAGCTGAAGGGCAGTGGCCTGATCTCGGCTCACCGCAACCTCCACCTCCCTGCTTCAAGCAATTCCCCTACCTCAGCCTCCCGAGTAGCTGGAATTAATAGGCGCACGCCACGACGACTGGCTAATTCTTTTGTATTTTTAGTGGAGACAGGGTTTCACAATGTTGGCAAGACTGGTCTCAGGTAATCCACCCACCTCCGCCTCCCAAAGTGCTGGGATTACAGGCGTGATCCACTGCGCCCGACCTCAAGGTCTGATTCTTTAAAAAACAAAAACTTCACTAAAATAAACTGCTAAAAAATATGGTTCAAAACCATTTGAGATAGACCTAATTATTCAGAGCTGCAATTTAAAGCTGCCTGGAAAAACTGTTGTCAGATAGATACTGAAAATAAAATCGGAAAAAGTAAAAACAAAATTTTCGAGTCGAATTTTACAGACTGTGCCTTTAGTGTTCAACAAGATAATAATAAATAAATAAGGGTTCATTTAGGAAAACAATCACGTTTAGGTACTGTTAGATGTTTCGGGTTTCGCATTCCAGGATTCTCATGACTCATCCACAAAATGAGCAAAGTGATTTGCATTATGCTTGAAAGCCCTTCTATAACTCTAATATTTGATGACTAAGCTTTCCCTGACTTCCTTACGCAACAAAAAAGTTCTAGGCAGGCAGATGCTTTTATTTCTGAATTTCAAAACTCAAAATAAAAATGAACTGTTGAATTTTCAGAAACTTGTAAAACATATTGCATTTATGCTTAGTGCCCATGAATTTTTGAGACAGGGTCTCACTCTGTCGCCCAGTCTGGAGTGAAGTGGTACAATCTCGGCTCACTGCAACCCCAGCCTCCTGGGCTCAAGTGATCCTCCCCACCTCAGCCTCTCAAGTAGCTGGGACTACAGGTGCACACCACCATGCCTGGCTAATTTTGGGGATATTTTTTGTAGAGATAAGGTTTCACCAAGTTGCCCAGGCTGGTCTCAAATTCCTAGGCTCATGCAATCCATCCTCCTTGGCCTCATAAAATGCTAACATTACAAGCGTGAGCCACCACGTCTGGCCCAAAAATGTTTTTGAAGTATTAACAGAAATAAACTGGATGCTTTTTCTCTCTCTCTTTTAACCACTTTTAAACTTATTGCTAAGTCCCTAATAAACAAATGCAATAGTCACTATAACACATTAAATAACTTTTTTTGCAACAGATGGAGTCTCGCTATGTTGCCCACACTGGTCTCTAACTCCTGGTCACAAGCCATCTGCCTGCCTCAACCTCCCAAATAGCTGAGATTACAGGTGTGAGTCACCACTAAAAAAATAAGTTAACCTGGCAGTTAACTTATTTTTTAAGAGGAAACCAATCACAATAAAAATGATTAAAAATAAAACAACAGCTGTTAGGAAAGAAGTTTTAAACATAACAAAACTGGTTCCAATACACACCTAAATTTTATTATCTAAAAAAAGCTATTTTAAAAGATAAACTACATATATAATTTATAACATTTCCTTATCCAAAAACATCTATGAGGACCTAAATCATTGCCCATATTACACTACAAGTTTTATCCTCTGCATATTGGTTTCCTGGCACAGAATATAAGGAAATATCTTTATATATGCAAGCTCCATGCACTCACAGTGCCAATTAATGTTTAGACCAAACATATGCAAAATTCAGAATAAAGTGGAAAAAAGTTTTTAAACAAACAGACCACCAAAATCCAAAACATCAAATGCTGCTGAAATGTGGAATAACAGGAACTCTCATCATTCATTGCAGGGAGGAATGTAAAATGGTACGAGCCACTTGGAAGACAGTTTCGCAGTTTCCTACAAAACTGAACCTATCATACAATTAATTAATTACATTCCCTGGTATTTACTCAATGAAATGAAAACTTACATCCACACAAAAACTTGCACAAGAGTGTTTATTGTAGCTTTATTAGTAAGTGCCAAACGTGGAAGCAACCAAGGTGTCCTTCAATAGATTAATAAACTATGATACATCCATTCAATAGAATATTAATCAGTAATAAAAGAAATGAGCTATTCAAACCACTAAAAGACATGAGGGAATTTAAACCACATGTTACTAAGTAAAAGAAGCCAATCTGAAAAGACTACATATCATACGATTCCAACTCTATGACATTTTACGGCAAACTGTGGGGACAGTAAAACATCACTGGTTGCCAAGGTTTTACGAGGAGGGAAAGAGAGATGAGTTGGTGGGACACAGGAGACTTTTAGGGGAGTGAAGTTATTGTTCTTTATGATACTGCAACAGTAGGTGTATGTCTTCATACATTCATCAAAATCAACAGAATTTACATCACACAGTGAACCCTGACGTAAACTATTAACTCAGACAATAATAGTGTATTAATATTGGTCCATCAGTTGTAACAAATGGAGCACACAAGATGTTAAAATTAAGGAAAGCAGGGAAGGGTAGTGTAAGGGATTGCAAGAGAACTACTTTTCATTCAATTTTTTCTGTAAACCTAAAACTGCTCCAAAAAAGTTTATTAATTTTTTTAAATTAAACCATCTGAAGCTGATTAATCTGAGCCTAGTTATTTTAGAAGGCTGCTCTGCACATGTCACCAAAATCCAAGTCAGATATTGCCTGATAAAAAACAGGACATTTTAACTTAGATAAGACCCTATCAATTAGATAATGTGTTTTTGTTTTTGTTTTTGTTTTTGTTTTTGAGATGTAGTCTCGCTCTGCCGCCCAGGCTGGAGTGCAGTGGCCAGATCTCGGCTCACTGCAAGCTCCGCCTCCCGGGTTTACGCCATTCTCCTGCCTCAGTCTCCCGAGTAGCTGGGACTACAGGCGCCCGCCACCTCGCCCGGCTAGTTTTTTTGTATTTTTTAGTAGAGACGGGGTTTCACCGTGTTAGCCAGGATGGTCTCGATCTCCTGACCTCGTGATCCGCCCGTCTCGGCCTCCCAATCAATTAGATAATGTTAACAATTATTTGCTGAAAACTGTCTGCCATGCCACTGGTTCCCAAACTTCAACATAACAGAATCACCTGTTGATCTTTCCAAAATTCTAAAACCCAGGCCATACCACAGACCAATTAAATCACAACATCTGGAGGTGGGACATAAATTTCTGCATGTCTTAAAGCACTCAGGTGATTCCAAATTACAGTTAAATTTGGAAATCACTATACCAAAGCTATGTGCATAGGCTCCAAGTTATGCTGCCCTTAAAACAGGCTGATGCAACTTGTTGCCTTCGCTTAGCAACTATAACAAAAGCTAAAACTCAAGGGAGGGATCACTATAAAAATTTTTTGGCCAGGTGTGGTGGCTCACGCCTGTAATTCCAGCACTTTCGGATGCCAAGGTGGGAGGATCACAAGGTCAAGAGATCGAGACCACCCTGGCTAACACGGTGAAATCCCATCTCTACTAAAAATACAAAAAAAATTAGCTGGGCGTGATGGCGGGCACCTATAGTCCCAGATACTTGGGAGGCTGAGGCAGGAGAATGGCGTGAACCTGGGAGGCGGAGCTTGCAGTGAGCTGAAATCGGGCCACTGCACTCCAGCCTGGGCAACAGAGAAAGACTCCATCTCAAAAAAATAAAAATAAAAAAAAGAAATCGATAATACTAGAAATGTTTATCCCAAATTCAAACTGTTTTTTAGTTCCTTTCTGAAGTAAGCATTTGCATGCTAACAAAGTATTTTCATTAAATAAATATTTTAGTATAGTTTGGTTTTTTTAGAGGCTTTTCTTTTAGTTTGTTAAAACAAATTTAATTTTTAACATTCTGAAGATGGTAAACCAGATCAGATAAGGGAGAAATGATCTGAGGTTTCATTTTAAAGATTTAGGGCCAGCCATGGTGGCTCACACCTGTAAACTCAGCATTTTGGGAGGCCGAGGCAGGTGGATCACCTGACATTAGGAGTTTGAGACCAGCCTGGCCAACATGGCAAAACCCCGTCTCCATTAAAAATACAAAAATTAGCCAAACGTGGTGGTGAGCACCTGTAGTTCCAGCTACTCAGGAGGCTGAGCCACAAGAATCGCTTGAACCCAGCAGGCGGAGATTGCAGTGAGCTGAGATTACACCATTGCACTCCAGCCTGGTGACACAGTGTGACTCCGGCTCAAACAAAAAAGATTTACACGATTTTTAAATTGCATTAAAATATGTGAAAATGTGTGAGACAATAAACTTTATTTTAAATCATTCATCTCATAATCCCGAGCACATTTTTTTTAAAGTAATGATTCATAAAATGTAAACTTCTTTCTGCTAACATAAGAACATTCTTAATAGAGCCCATTGCTTAAACATATGAGAAACTCAGAGGAAAAAGTCTTAATTATTAATAGCCAGTCCCAGGGAAGAGCAATAAAGTCCTAGAATTTTTTTTTTAAACACAAAGGCAAATAAAGTTCTCAATAGCAAAGAGGCAGTTTTAGAGAATGTTCAACCTGGGGTCAAAGGATAAAGAAAATTCAGGTCATCCATCAACTTTAATGGTAAAAACATTATATTTTTATTTTTACCAACATTTAACTAAAATTTCAGCATTTACTTTGATTATCAGTATTTGTGATTTTTGTCACCAACAGGAATTACTTATATGTTAATACCACATTACAATTGTTACAGGTATCTCAATGTTATCTTACTTGGAAATCATGGCAGCGATTAAATCTGCCAATAAAATACATCTTGTTACACAGATTTTGAAGCACATGTATTAATATATCAAAAATCTGTTATTGTGATATTATAATTATTTCAATATAATTGGTTTTCTTTGCAATTTTGTCTTACTTTATATTCATTAAAATATTATTCTGAGACAGAGTCCACAAACTTCACCAGACCAAAAGAAATCTATGACATACACAAGAGTAAGAATTCACTTTAATACAACCCTAAAGTCAGTAAAATTATAATACAAAATTACTCTGCAGCAAATTCTTTGATAGATCTCTGAATAAGTGTTATTTTTTTTTTCAAGTTTTTAAGTTGTGGTAAAAAAACACATAAAATTTACTATCTCAAGCATTTTAAAGTGTATAGTTCAATGTTAAACACATTCATATTGTTGTGCAACTAACATTATCTCCAAAATTCATCTTTCAAAACTGAAACTCTCTACCCGCATTAAACAATAACTCCCCATTCCTCCCTTGAGGGAACCTGAATGCCCAGCGGACCACCATTCTACTTTCTGTGTCTATCCCTACTCTAAGTACCTCATATAGTGGAATTATACAGTATTTTTCTTTTTGTGATTGGTTTATTTGACTTATAACATCCTCAGTGTTCATCCATATTGTAGCATATGTCAGAATTACCTGAATAAGAGTATTTTTAAAATTTTGTAAATAATGCCAAGCTAACACAAAAATGAATTTTATATTACTTTATATCCATTTTATAATACAGGAACTTACACATGACAGAATTCAAATAACTACAAGTTCTGTTAATCATTTTTGTGGTTTTCATCTGGACTATTTCCTCACCTCTTTTTTGTTACATTATTCTAATATCTGTTATCACTATTGTTTGTTTTCTCACTTGAAAAAAAATCCCCAAAAATTAATATCTAAAAAGAAACCCACTCTTCAGTGAAAGTTAAGACAACAACCAATAACTTTTAAATGTCTACATAAAACATCATGTGGCCTACACTAGACAGTTACATTCTTAGGGCTTTTGCTAAGTAAAGACACAAATTAATTCAACTTTGGTACCCTGGACATACCTGAACAAATCATTACAATGGAGTACAACATCTCTAACGGCAATAAGACATCCAGTTTCATCGAGTTCTGCAGTTTTCAGTCCTTACCTTGGAATGCTAGTACACAATTGACTGTTGATCCTTCCACATAATGTTCAGGCATAGGGGACCATAAAAACGTGTAATAATCACGAGCAGTACTCCATCCAACCTAAAGGGAAATAACAAAAAAGGCAGGTTTATAAGCAAATAGTTTAATATTAGGCTCATACAGCATTTTTTAAATTGTATTTTATAGTTAAAATATACATTTAATATGTTTACAAATCTTGAGTATTTTAACAAGCATGTCAAATTATTTTTAAATTAAACCACAGCCTAATGCTATAAAAATCTACATAAATTGAATAGTAGAATTTCTACTGTATTAAAAAGGAATTTGCTTCCAATTTCTCAAGGATAATCCATCCACATGATCAAATATAAAAACTTGTTTTGATTAAAATTTAATTTCACTAAACACAGTGAGTTTTTAAATACTTGTTATTTATTTTTTATTGACCACAGAGTATTATTTTCAAAGGTGGCACATACTGAATGTCTAGTAGATCCAACAACTGAGGGAGTTACAGACTAAAGAAATTAATATTTAAAACATTAGACATGCATTACAAATTCACCTCTGAAGAATTTTCAGATATATCAAAATTCAAAAAACTTAATTTATACCTCCAATTTAAGTGTTTTATTTGTTTTACTTAGACATCTGCCTCCCTCTAAATTCACTAAATTCACTAATCCCTCACCTTTGGCAAGTCTTGCCTACAGCCAATTGGCAAATTTTGTAAAAAGACCTTTAGCACCAAGATGTTTATATATATACAGATAGATCACCCATGTCTCAAATAACACATTTTCTACTTACAACATGAATATATACATATCTCAATCCGTATTTTCCAGATGGACTATGCCATGCTAAATATTGAAAACTAGAGATGTTTAAAACAGGTAGTAGATATCCATTTGCTAGTAATATTACAAAAATTTATGTATAAGCCAAAAGGTTAGATTATACCTAGGATTCTGATTGGCCTGATTATAGACAACAGAATGCTGAAGCTGGATAAACCTTGTCACCTTTAGCCTCCAAAAGAATGGTTGAAACTACAGGTTACAACCCAGTAGGAAGTGATAAAACCAATTTAGTGGTTCATGACTGGCATTTATTTTGTAATTATATAGAAGAGAAAGTACTGGAGTACATTAAGGGTAAGTGTTTCATGAAATTTGGTTTTTGGTGTATTTGCATGCTGGGACAAATCTTACAATTTATTCTGTTCTGTGTCAAGGTAAAAAACACTTGACACTATTCATCTCTTTACAGATATGAAACCTAAGGAATCAGTGAACAAGTCATTTACCTCACCTGTTTGAGCCAGTTTTTCCTTTCAGTTGTTGGAAGAATTAAATAACATAATGAACCTAAAAGCAGCACGTGAAGTGCCTAATCCATGGCAAACACTCCATGAATGGTAGTTATTATAGGTGCAGTATTTTGTAATAATTAAGAGCATAGAGTGTGAGGTCAGAATACCAGAACAGATCATTTGCTAGCTGTATGGTTTTGGACAAGTTATTCATTTCTATTTTCTCCTCTGATAACAAAAACAGCCTCTAAAGGTTGTGTCTGTATTAAATGAGATCATCCCTGTAGAGTATTTAGCACAGTGCCTATCACATAAGTGCTTCTTAGCAGCCTGAGAACTGAGCCTACCAAGAAGTTGGGGGGTGAGATACAATCCTAAGCAAAAAGTCAGAAATACAGAACTACACTTCAAACTGCTTTTAAGTAAGGAAAACTAAATAGTTCTTAAGTCACTTAGAGAGCGGCATGTTAGGCATACATAAAAAATAAATGTAGAAGTCTCTCAACCTGGAAAGACATAGGGAATGGGCTCCTTTGGGATGTAACTGTCTTATATCAAGCTCCCACATGAAAGTATGTTAGAGTGGACAGTACTGGAAGGAACACAAAAGATGAACATCAGGAAATTATGTAGGAGTCCACTGCAATAACAATAAATCTAATTAGAAGGGTCAATAAACCATAACGTGTCCAAACCAAAGGTTGATTCTCTGTTTTATTTTCCTGGTCACCGGGCTAGAACTTGCTTCTCAATGCTACAGGATACACTGAAATACAAGAAATCTTGTCTTTTAGTCCACCATTACCAAGCGAAAAGAAAATTATTACACTTACAGTTGATAACAGCAATTTTCAAATATTGAAAAATGGCAGGGAGAACATGGCAACACTTCAGACAATGGGACAAAATAGCCAGTTATCTAAAACTGCCAAAATATATTGCTTCTAGGAGATACACCTGAATCTAGTTAACCAGTTAATTGTAGTCACAGATACCATTGGAGGCTGTATCTATGTTAAGAAAGAAACTAAAGCAATGAATATGTCACATACTTTAGTTTGAAGAATTACAACAGCAGTGGGCATCATTCTTGTTACTACTGCAACAGCAAAATAAATGAGAAAATGGAAATTAAACAAGGATGACAGAGAAGGGAGAAAGCCACAATATATTCCTTTTAAACAGGATTAACATTTCAGAAAAACACGCTGGGTAAGTTTTTGTTTTTGTTTTGTTTTGTTTTGTTTTTTTGAGACGGAGTCTAGCTCTGTCGCCCAGGCTGGAGTGCAGTGGCGGATCTCGGCTCACTGCAAGCTCCGCCTCCCAGGTTCACGCCATTCTCCTATCTCAGCCTCCCAAGTAGCTGGGACTACAGGCGCCCGACACCACGCCCGGCTAATTTTTTGTATTTTCAGTAGAGACGGGGTTTCACTGTGTTAGCCAGGATGGTCTTGATCTCCTGACCTCGTGATCCGCCCGCCTCCGCCTCCCAAAGTGCTGGGATTACAGGCGTGAGCCACCGCGCCCGGCCGGATAAGTTTTGATCATAAAGGAAATTCTGAGAAAGAACATACAGAAGACCATAATGACATCAAAGTTACCTAGAAAAAATAAAGATAATAAATCCTGGAGAAACACTGAGGAAAAGACAGAAACATTAGGGTGAGGAAAGCATACGAGAGACCAGTTGGAAAGAAAGAAACAGAGAAGAGGGGCTGATGTTTGGAGAGGAATAAAGGGAGACAAGCCTTGGAGCAGGAAGGGCACTGAAAATAAATGAGCTGATTACATATGGATATAGGAGGATTCCCAATAAATACAATTAAGTGAGGAAAAAAGCCCACAAAAAAGTATAAAATGAGCCTATGAATTTTTCTAATCCAGAAACATATAACAACAGACATCACTGGGGAAGCTAGGAGTACAATGGGTAGGAGCATTCATTTTCCTTCTTTTGTATACAATGTAGCTTCTAAAAATCATGTTACCAGAAAAGTTCCTTTAGGAAAAAAATAACTGCAAAAATGCCTAGATATACAAAGGGAGTATGCAACATTGATTCAAGAGAGAAATATCATAAACAGCATAAATTCCTCAACGAGATAAAACGGTACAGAACTAATTGTAAGTGATTAAGTGAAAAAATTACGGCATTAAAAAATACATGAGATATGCCAGCAACGTTCAAAATACATATATTAGAAAAAAGACTGAGGACGGGCGCGGTGGCTCATGCCTGTAATCCCAGCACTTTGGGAGGCCGAGGTGGGCGGATCACGAGGTCAGGATATCGAGACCATCCTGGCTAATATGGTGAAACCCCGTCTCTACTAAAAATACAAAAAAAAAAAAAAAATTAGCCAAGCGTGGTGGCAGGCGCCTGTAGTCCCAGCTACTGGGGATGCTGAGAGAGGAGAATGGCGCGAACCCGGGAGGCGGAGATTGCAGTGAGCGGAGATTGCGCCGCTGCACGCCAGCAAGCAAGACTCCGTCTCAAAAACAAAAACAAAAAAGACTGAAAGTCTCCTTCCATTAATAAAACAAGGCTGGAAGGAAATACAACATTAACAGTGCTAACCATTGATATTAGGTAGGGATATACTTTGGTAGTGGGACTATAGGACGTTTTAATTTTATAATTATAAATAATTATAATTATAAATATGTATATATTATATATTATAATATAATAATTATAATTATTTTTTTAAAACCAGAGGACTTTTTTGTTTAAACAGAAAATGAGTGGAATGAGACAGGACCGAAGGGGAGACCAAGGCAGGAAAACAGGAGGAGGAGGAAAAAAAATTTGAAAAGGAAAAGGAAAAACAAGGAACAAAGAAACAAAAGCTTGAAACAGGATACTCAAGAATAAAATCACTGTTTAGATCCACCTTCTAATCAGGCAACTTAGTTTTTGATGTGCTTGGCAGCAGGATGCAGTGAAAACAGTATGTTATAGGGAGGTTTTGTCTGTCTAGTATAGGGTACGTCATGCATTAGCAATGTAATTTTGAACACATCACATGACCACTCTGCACTTCCAATTTCCTCAACTGTAACAGTATCTTGGAGATGTGAGAATTCCAATTAGAACAGTGTCTCGGAGATGTGAGAATTCCAATTAGAACAGTATCTTGGAGATGTGAGAATTCTAAGACTCTAAAGTTTAAAAAAAAACTAATGGACTTACTTGTAATGTTACTACAGTAGTCATCCTTTATCTAAGGTGTCACTTTCTGTGGTTCTAGTTACCTGAGGTCAACCAAGACCCCAAAATAAGTAAGTATAGTACAATAAGATATTGTTAGAGTGAGAGAAACCACATTCACATAACTTTTACTCGGGCTGTTTGGTTAAGTGAAAGATCTGATTATTCAAAATTAGCAACAGAGTTACTAATGATGCAGGCCGGCTATCAGGTAATATAACAATTACATGTTATGATTGTTCTATTTTTAGTTATTGTTGTTAACTCTTACTGTGCCTAATTTATAAATTAAACTTTATCATAGGTATGACTGTATCAGAAAAGTACAATGTAAACAGAGTTCAGTACTATCTGTAATTTCAGGTATCCACTGGGGGTCTTTAACTGTAAGGTAATTTAATTTGTACTAAGCATAAATCTAAACATACACCAATTCCTCATGCTTATGTACTTATACAACTAAGACCAAATCAAATTCATAAACACAAAACAGAACAAAACTCAAATATAATGTAACATATAATGTTTTACTGCAATTAATGTTGGTTTAATAATAAAGATATGGCCGGGCGCGGTGGCTCAAGCCTGTAATCCCAGCACTTTGGGAGGCCGAGACGGGCGGATCATGAGGTCAGGAGATCGAGACCATCCTGGCTAATACAGTGAAACCCCGTCTCTACTAAAAAATACAAAAAACTAGCCGGGTGAAGTGGCGGGTGCCTGTAGTCCCAGCTACTCGGGAGGCTGAGGCAGGAGAATGGCGTGAACCCGAGAGGAGGAGCTTGCAGTGAGCTGAGATCCGGCCACTGCACTCCAGCCTGGGTGACAGAGCAAGACTCCGTCTCAAAAAAAAAAAAAAAAGAAAAAATAATAATAATAATAATAAAGATATGGCATCAGGTGCAGTTCTTTTTATCTTTTTATTTGAGACAGAATCGCGCTCTGTCACCTAGGCTGGAGTGCTCTAGTGCAATCTCTGCTCACTGCAACCTCCACCTCCTGGGTTCAAGCGATACTCATGTCTCAGCCTCCTGAGTAGCTGGGACTACCAGCACACACCACCACGCCTGGCTAATTTTTATATTTTTAGTAGAGTCAGGGTTTTGCCATTTTGGCCAGGCTGTTCTCAAACTCCTGACCTCAAGTGATCTGCCCGCTTCAGCGTCCCAAAGGGCTGGGATTACAGGCGTGAGCCACTGTGCCCAGCCTGCATCAGGTGCAGTTCTAAATCTTTTCCTGTAATTTTACTTCAATTCTGTCACTAAAGAAAATCCATGCTGAACTTATTAGCAACTCTGTTGTTAATTCTGAATAATCAGATAGCTCAACCAAACAGCCAGAGAATAATTATTGAATGCCAATTTACATAAGGTTCAAATCTCAGCTCCAATGTGTAATGGATAACTTTGAACAAGTCACTTTAATCTCTGGACCTCAGTTCCATCATCTGTAAAATAGGGAGTATAATGCTCAGATGAGAGGTGAACGTATAAAATAATAAACATAAGTTATATGTTTATTTTCATTATAATTAAAACGAATCAATCAATACTGCAGAGGGAGTAAAAAAAACTAAAAGGAACAAAAACCTCCAACTCGGTCTATATCCCTTATTTGGCTTCACTCATTTCCCTACCCAACCTGGACTTCACTATCAGTCAATCATTTCAATAATATACTCAAAACCACCGTAGTATCCTTTGTCCTCTTCCCTTCCCATTCCCACCGTTTTCCAACACCCAGTTTGAATGACAGCCACTTCTGGCACTCTTGACACAATTCCAAATGCTGAATCTCTCTGGAGAAAGTCATAAAATTGCTGCTTAGTAATCTTCTGGTTAAGCTACTCCAATTCCCTGTGACATTCTTCCACAATAGCAAGGACAATTATCTATACTCAAGCCCTCCCCAACTTTTAACACATGACCTTGCTCCTCCTTACTGAGATGCCATAGAATGAGTGCCAGTCCTAATTCAATTGACTGTTGACATATCCTATGAATTCTATTTATGGATTATTACACACAACTTACTTCCTTCTCCACTTTAGGCTTTCACTATTTCACACAGAAAATTAGGATAGTCTAAATGTTCTCTTTACCTCCATTCTCTTCAAATTCCAATTTATCATACTCAGCACTATAAGATTAAGCTTCACTTCTAAACTTTATTACTCCTTACTTAAAAACTATCCCTCAAATATTAAAACAATCTACAACATGATCCAAACTAACCTTTCCCATCCATCTTCTAAAACTGGTATCTGCAGCTGGGCACGGTGGTTCATGCCTACAATCCCAGCACTTATCAATCCCAGCACTTATGTAGGCTGAGGCAGGTGGATCGCTTGAGCCCAGGAGTTCGAGACCAGCCTGGGCAACATGGCAAAACCCCGTCTCTAAAAAAAATAATAATAATAAATTTTTAATTGATAGTTGTCCCAAGCAAATCAAATTCCTTAACACTTTCTCAAGCATACCACTTTTCCATCTTCATTCCTCCTCCCTTACAATTGCTACCCAGGCACTCTCTTCCTGCCTGCTTGTCAATATGGTGTCTATCAAAATCACTTTAGAGGGCAATTTGCTATACACATAAAGTGCTTAAAAACATACAATGTCATAAACATGGTGATTCTACTTCCCAAGAACTTACCTTATGAAATAAGTAGACAAAATGAAGATAGGTAGACATTAATACTTTATTACGTATTAATGATAAGCATTTAGCAACACTGTAAATTCCAATATTAAGAAACTGGTTCAATGAATATATACACACACTATGATGCATCAGTAGTATGTGTGTATATATTTATTACACACACATTATGCATGTGTATAATTATTTGTAATTTTATTACATGTAGCTATATACCATTATGTTAACAACAGTTAACACTAGGTAAAAGTGTTAAGCATGATTATTTTCTTCCTTGAGCCTTCCTGTATTACCTGAAATTTTTACTATATGCTTGAACTTCCTATTGAGTTTTAAAGTTTTATCCTGGCAAAAAGGATGGAAAAAGTATTAAACAGAAGATTTTTTTTCTTTTTTGCTGAGAGAAAACTTACAATCCTTAAAGTGCACAATGAAAGAAGTATAGTTCAGCATTACCAAAGCAAAAAAGCAGCAGCAGGAATGACCAAAAATGAAGCTGGAAATTAAATCTTATACAGGAGCCCTGTATGGCTCTAGGTTATTTGGTCTTGGCATTATTCCATAGATGATGAAGAACTAATGAAGAGTTTCAAGTAACAGAAAGATGTTCAGGTTTCCATTTTACAGCTTATATAGAGCAGTTAAAAAACAAAGGTTAGAGGACAAGAATGAAAGTGGGGTAAAACAGGTGACCTATTGTAATAGTCTTGGTAAAAAATACAGAAGGCATGAACTAGAGCAGTGATATTAAGGATTTAGAAATATGTAAGTAATAATATGGTTAAAACTGATGTTTGGATTTGAAGGGAAAGTCACAGGCTTTTGGCTGTAAAAAAATGAAAAAATACAAGAAATAAAAAAGGAGTCTGCAGGAAAAAGGTAATAATTCATCTTCTTGAAACATAATTTTTCAAACAACCCATACATATACAAAGACTTCTCACTGCCCTTTAGAAAAAAGTCTATAAACTGTCTAACACTGAAGGTCTTCCATAGACAGAATGAAACTTATCTCCAATCTCATCTTCCACAACTTCCCTAACTGAAGCTTATGCTGTAAACTGACTTACTCATTCTCATGAACATTCCTACCTCTGAGCCTCTGCTTATACAGATTCAATATCCCTTATTTGAAATGCTTGAGACCAGAAGTGCTTTGGATTTCTAAATTGGTCATCAGATTTTGGAATATTTGCATTATACTTACTAGTTGGGCATCCCAAATCCAAAACATAAAATGTTCCAGTGAGCATTTTCTTAGCACATCATGTCAGCATTCAAAAAGTTTTGGATTTCAAAGCATTTCAGATTTTCAGATTTAGGATGTTTAACCTATACCATTTTCCTGCTGGAAATGCCCTTCTTTTTCCTCAATCACATTTCTGTTTTCTTCCACTCTGCTCTGTTACTACAGAAAACACCAGTTCTCAATCAGTATCTTTAACTTGATACCAGTATCTCCCATAAAATCGAAACTACTACTGAGGCCAGGTGCGGTGGCTCACACCTGTAATCCCAGCACTTTGGGAGGCTGGGACACGGAGGATCCACTTAAGCCTAGGAAGTTAAAACCAGCCTAGGCAACATAATGAGACCCTGTCTCTACAAAAAAATTTAAAAATTAGCCAGGCATGGTGTGTCTATAATCCCAGCTATTTGGAAGGCTGCAGGGAAAGGATCACTTGAGGCCAGAAGGTCAGGTTGCAGTAAGCCACTATCCCACCACTGCACTCCAGCCTGAGTGAAAGAATAAGACCCTGTCTCAAAAAATAAGAAATAAAATTTAAAAACTACTACTGATTTCATAAAACGGTTACAATGAATGTTTCTCCATTTTGGGATCTAACAAGCCTAAAAAACTGACACAAAAAGTAAACGGTAAATAACTACAGTAAATAACTATTATGTTGTATTCAGAAACATCAAGAAATGAGGAATTCAAAGAAAGGAACTAAAAGTCGTTAAATGCCAAAACTTTGTTTTGTCCAAATGTTATTCTGCCTTCCCATCAGGCTGGACTTTACTTCTAGACACTTTCAATGTGCCTAATTTCTAGCAGCTATTCATTTCTTTCTTCCTTGTCGTTTAACTTTATACAGGTTAGACAATCAAAATATCAAGCCCATAAAAATCCTAACTAAAATAAAACAAACTGATTCTGAGGAAGAATACAGAATAACACAGGAGAAAAGTGAATGTGTTTTACTGTTTGGACATTCATGACATTATTTTGACTGCTCAGAGGACACTCTTATGTTTTGGTTTTCCACTACATTCTGAAGAGTTAAAATTGCCAGAAAACGTCCTGCATAGTGAGGTATACCACTGTAATGATCACCTTTATTTTCAAGAAAGTATTATACAAAATCACTCGTAAAATATAAGAACTGGAACTCCTGCCATCAAAGAGTTTACTCTTCAGTCATGTTAAACAGAATACTTTAAAACTGTGTAATACAAACAGAATACTCTTAAAACTGTGTAATACAATCTGAGCAATATTTAAGCCATGCAGGACAATAGTAGAAGGGATAATAACATGACTGTCAAGCTGTATAAAATTAATTTCAAATGACTGGAAAAGACAGTAAATAATATAAGAACCCAAAGAAAAAGATCTTTTTTTTTTTCAGGTAATGAACGGAGAAAATAGGAAAAGAAGATTCTGAAAAAATGTTCACAAGTCCTTAAGTGAAGATAAACTTTTTGATGAGAGAGGAAAATCTGGTGAAATGGAGTTCCCAACATTCATTTTATTTACTCCTCACTGTTAAATATTTCATGGTGACGTTTAAAAAAATGAGTCTAATGCAGAGTTAAGAAAAGGCAAGTACAAGCTACTTATCAATCTGTTTTAAAAGAAAATTAAAAGTGTTTACATGGAGAACATATTCCGAAAGCTTTCTTACCTTGAATATACCAACCCAATCTTTTGGATGTGGATGAATATATGGAGTTAAGGTGTAATGACATTCCAGGTGTGCATTAGGAAGGTAACTCTTGGCCACATTTTGAAAGATGACATGGGCAAAGTTGGAAGTCTGCAATGGGACTTCTTGAAAGGATGCCATTGTGAATCTGAAACAAGTAATTCATACAAGTTAAATTATACCAACTAAGAATAAACTTATGCCTTCAGAAAATACATAATATTTAATATAAATTTCATGAATATTTGCATGTCATAATTAAGAAAATATATACTTTGTAAATACTGCAACTTCTTAAAAATATGATTAAATATAAAAATACAGACAAACTGGAAAATAACTAACACCCATTTGGCTCAGAAAGTTATGTGGGCATTTAAAAGTTAAAAAACCAAACCAAAAATTCAACTCTCCTGGAAAGCCTAGCCCTCTGCATCTATCTGAATCAAAACCAAATGAACCAGAGCTGTTTTCATGCACATGCTGCCAATATAAACCTGCTGGCTCCTAGTAACGAACGCTAGAAACAGAAACAAGGACAGTTAAAAGTCAGTATTTTAATGGCTATGGGTCAATTAACTTTTCCTTCCTATGAGAACCTTTGAGCTTCATCATTTTCCTCCCTAACCTAGCCCATCCCATTCATCTCTTCCCCTCTCCCTAGGTTTTGGGATCCTATAACTAAACCTGATGCTAACATCTCTGTGCCTACATTCCTGCCCTTCTAAATCCCCCGGACCAGCATTTCTCAACCCTGGTTACACATTAGAATCATTAGCGGCCTTTAAAAAAAAAATAAATAAATAGATGACAACGACTTTCTGGGAGTGGGGCCTGGGGGTGTGTGCATGTGTGTCTGTCGGTGTGTATATGAATATACATATCCCTGCCCCCACATCTCCCCAAGTAATCTCAATCCTGTATGCAACCAGAAAAGAGAACCACTATCCAACAACTTAAGTCTCTACTACTAACTCACTCATTTCCACAGATCCCAGACCCAGCCTGTCTTCTTGGGTTTCTGGTACAAGCTTGTTCAAATCTCTCAAACCATGTAAAATCTTAGCTGGTCTACTTGAAATGGCTCAGCTTATTCATTCTTCTCTACCTATAACAAACCTATCATTTCATCCTAGGTCCAACGATCCTACTTCGACTTCTAGTATTCATGTACCCTTTCCATATGTTTACTGATTAAAATAAACTTATATTTAAAAATAAAAATAGGAATGTAGTGTTAATAAAATACATACTGTTGAAAATCTATTAGAAATTCACGAACGCTCACTGGCTTAGTAAACACCAAGCACTGGATAGCAGATGAATGGTGAAAGCAGATTATAAAAACTGCAAGATCCAAATGTTTTCCCTATTTTGTGCTCTACTTTTGAGAAAACAGAAACAAATGAGGATTTACCCAAAAAAGCAATCTGCAGAGTTTGTCACAGGCTCAGTACAATCACTAATTCTACAATACACATAAGAAACTATGACTGTCCTGACCGCACTTGCTTGAGTCATTAAAACAGGCATCTCTGTAATAATAGGGAAAACTGGGGCAAGATTTTTGCTAACCAAATTAATCTAATTTACTTCACAAATCAATGAAGTTTCTACAGAGCAAGCACAGCAGTAAGGCTCTACTCATATTTTAGCCATTAGTAAGAAGGCTTATTGCTAAGATCTGAAACAGTGTGCTTTTACAACTGTTTCTTTTGCTGACCTGTTTGAAATACTAAGGCAAATTTTTAAAGTTTTGTAATAATAAGCACTTTAAAAAATACCAACTTTCTTCTTATGTCCCCCTCTGCTTCTGTTACGGCCAAAGTCCTGCTTTACTGAATATAATGGATATCCCAAAAAGAGACTGTAAATCATGAACCTGGAAACCACTGTAGAGTATCAGGCTAGTTGTTAGCCTCTCCCTACCTGAGGTTTGCAAGCATTCCAAGATAAAGAGTATATTCAGTAGCAATCCTCCTTTACCTCTGCACTAACAAAGGGACTTTGCTACCAGCAACCATATTTCATGGAAAGACTTAACTATGTACACTCTCTACCTGGTAATCTAAAGCCATCAGAAAAATGAAAAGGTAGCATTTACAAACACTGGAGAACTCTGCCTAAAATAACTGAAGAGTTCTATTATTTTGTTTCTTTGAGTTGTCTGAGCTAATTTGGGCTCCCAGGGAGGTCATATTAATGAAGTCATTAATGATAATCTCTTTTCAAGTCAGTGGCTTAAGAAAGAGGAAAAAATCACCAATTCCAATTCTTTTAAAAAAAAAAAAAGTCACTACTGGTTATAAGATACCAACAAAAGAAACTATAGCTAAATCAACTGAACCAACATCTATTAGATACAACTACCAAAATTGAATCAAGAGAATATTTTTCTATGAAGCGAGTGAACAGTCACACTTCCTCTGAGAAAGATTTTCAGTAAGAAGGAAATAAACTAGCTTAGAATAAACGTCCCATGTCTTTAATCAAAAGCTGATTAAGAATAATACTTTTTTCTTAAAATTTAACATGTCATTTCCTAAAATAAACAACAAAGCTGTAACAATTTTTTTTATAAGACAAGGCAAAAGTGTTTAAACTTCTGTTAACCTCCTTTAAAACAGTTTTTAAAAATCCACAATCCAACCTTATACTTTTAGTTCACTGAAGTTTTTGAGGTACAAAATAGCACATAGGTATACATATATGTATTTGTATATGTTTACAAATGCATCAAAAGGAACTCAAGAAGTATACACTATAGAGTTAATAGTCTTATAAGGGATGTGTGTAAAAACAAGACTTAAGGACTTTAAATTTTACATCAATTTATTGTTTGAATTTTTACAAGTATATATAAATGTATTATTTCTATTGTTTTAAATAGCCCTATTAACCAGAAATCCCATTTTTAAACCCTCCCCCAAATTTCACATTTTCTAATAGAAAACACTAGTATTTCACTTTAAAATATAGTATTCACAATGTTTACAAGTCTGAAAAGTAAAATAATTTGTGATTATCCTATTAATCGCCTTCATTAATCTCTCTCCAACACTCCAATCTTTTTAAAATTTAATTGCTATAATTATAGAAATATTTTACAAAAGTCATTCCAGTACCTTGTCATTTTTTACTCTTCTTATTAAAATATAGCTACAAATCATTTAAAAAGTTTACATGGATGAATGCAATCTAAATATAATTATGTCATTAATCAACCCATTTTAAATAATAAAATTTATAATTCCTACATAGTTCCTCTGGTTCACTCCTCCTACAGATAACAGACTGAAGAGACAGGCAAGCTTATAAAAATGCTGGAATTCACTGAGAATGTCAAGGTCGCATGGGAGAGGAGAAACAATATGCAAAGTCACTGCATCACCTTGTGGTAATGCCTGGGAAGTGTAGCTTCACTAACATCCTGAGAAAAAGTACAAACCTCCTCTCAGTTGGACAGAAGTACACTCCCTACACAAAAAGCAAAGTAGAAGCAAGCAGCTTTACCATGTCAAATTCTGATTCCCCTTCTCTAAAGTGCATCTCCACAAACAGGAGTATAGTAAGTTGGCAAGCCAAGGATAAGTACAAAACGTCCAGTCAACAATCAAGGGACCAGACACATTTGGCTGGGAAACAAAGTCAGAAATGCTTACACATGCTGACTACAGTGCCCTCTTTCAGGTTTCCTCCTACATTCCCTCAAGCTCCAATGCCTCTAGAATTTCTTTATGTGTGTTACGCTGTAAACTGTATACTATAGAGTCTTTGGTCTAAATTCCAATTTTATTATTTTGCAAATGCATTAATGTCTATAAAAAAGATAAATAATACATAGTGGGCACTCAGTTATGTATACAGCTAAAATAAACATGGGGTGGGGGTGGGGAAGCATTTCAACGTTATCTTTACTTACTCCTCTTGGAACTTTTTCAACCCCAAAACAGATTTGACTTTTGTGGTAGTATTTTTCCAGTGGTTCCCAATACTTGTTTTACTTTAGCCCAAAAATATAAGCCTGAGTGAACTTACTAAAAAATAGATCATAGTAAGAACTTCTGTACATTAAACATATGAAGCCAAATTAAGCTTTTTAATTTAGATAAATATTAAATATAATTTGCCAGTCCTAACAATTAGAATTCAAAAATAATTTTGTTATGTGTGATAATATAATTATGGCAATTCTGTGTTTTTCTAAAGTCCTTATCAGTTAAAGATGCTAAACTAACTGTAAATGAAACGTCTTGATGTCTAAGATTTGCTTTAAAAACTCCAGGGGAAAAAAATAAATGTTAGAGGGGTAATAAAACAAGATTAGTAAAGTGTCAGTTCATTTTACTGTTCATTCTCCTTTGTGTATGTTTGAAAATTTCCGTAATAGGAAAACCAAAGCAAATAAAGAAATGAAACAGATTAGTAACACTCCACATAAGACCTACTGCAGCAGAAACACTGCATTTTAGAATATGAACACTTTGTATCTTTAGAAGTGTTATAATTCAGGTAATGGTTGACAGAGTTACCGAAAGTTTTTCACATCCTCAGCTAAAAAACCTTTAGAAGTATCTCCAAACTTCAGTCCGACAGGACACGCAAACATATGAAAGCAAAAAATGTCCAACATTCAAACAGTTTCCAATTATTCACACTGTGGCTCAAAGAAAGAAAAACTTAACAACTATCAACAGACCTCTGCTTCCAAAAAAATGTAATCAGCAATTTTTCTAGGAGGCAAAAGCAAAGGCCCCAGTCTATTAACTTGCACCATTGCAGGCATCCCTAGTTCCAGAATCCTTTACACCTGAGTGCCAAGACATTCCGCTCAGGTGTCACCCGCACCACTTTTACTTACTTCTTAGATTTTATAAGTTGGTTTCTAAAATGCTATGATCTTGGCCCACATATATTAGGGGAGAGGACATTTTTATCTTCTTCTGAAGGTTTATTTGGGACAAAATAAGCTTTAAAAAGACAGAAATGCATAAAGCCCAGATTTTACATATCCATTCCAAAAGAATACAATAAAGTCCCCAAAAGAAGTATACAAGGAGCATCGTTAGGATCTTCCATAATTATTTCAACATCATTAAAAAGGTTGAAACTCTGAATTCCAAAATTTTACTTTTGTTATGGAAAAGATATTTACTGGTTAATTCTACAAACATCGCTGCAGTGAGAACTACAAACAGCGGTCTACAATTTAAGAACTTGATGCGCCAGTCGCAGTGGCTCACGCCTGTAATCCCAGCACTTTGGGAGGCCGAGGCGGGCAGATCAGGAGGTCAGGAGTTCGACCCTAGCCTAACCAACATGGAGAAACCCCGTCTCTACTAAAAATACAAAAATTAGCCGGGCGTGGTGGCGCGCGCCTGTAATCGCAGCTACCCAGGAGGCTGAGGCAGGAGAATCGCTTGAACCTGGGAGGCGGAGGTTGCAGTGAGCCGAGATCGTGCCACTGCACTCCAGCCTGGGAGACAGAGCAAGACTCCGTCTCAAGGAAAAAAAAAAAAAAAAGAACGTGATGGCTATAAAACAAAAAATACAGTAAGATGTTCTTTGAAGTTGAACAGCTTGAAAAATAAATAAAACTTTATTAGAAGTCGGCATCATCAAACAATACTTCAAGTTTACCCTTGAAAAGAACAGAACGAAGGAGAAAGGCTGTCCTCAGCTCCTTCTCTAAACCCGAAAAGCACTGAGGACAATCAACCCACTTTTAGTTTCTATTCAAATGATCTCTTTAAATCCTTTTGGAATTAAGCACCAAACTTGTAACTAGTAATTGTTCGTGCACAGCACGTAGAAATTTTAACATCAGCAGAATGCAGACAGTTGAACAATTAAGATTTTCCCATCTAAAGCCTGACATAATAGCAATTCATAACCACTGTGTGAAATCGGAAATCTAACACTGTACGTCTAAAGTCATATGCCAGTGTTGTCCAACAAAACTTTTACCAATAAGGTGTGTACACACACCCACACAAACGCATGCTAAGCTCTATTTTTTACTAATAAGGTGTACACGCGCACGCTAAACTCTAGCCACAGATTCTCTAAGCGAGGAATGCAGGTCGGTCGGGACTAGTTCACACCTCGCGAACCTGCGGGGTGTGTTGGGGCGGGGTGGGGAAAGGATTCCAGGTGAAGCAGGAGATCAGCCGGAACAGCCAACTCCGCCCGCGGCCCTCAAAAGTAGGCGGCGCAGGGAGTCTCCGCCCCCTTCGCCACCGGCGACTCAAACCAAAACAGCTGGGTTTCTCTCCGCAGAGGCAAACCCCAGCGTCCTTCTCGGACGCGACCTACGTGTTTTCTCAGCTTACTGCGCCGGTAACACCCACAGGGACCTCAAAACAGTCATCCCAGAGTTGAGCCTTGGACACCAGAAGCTTTTCCTTCGGGGGTCGCCAGCGTCACTCGTCCCCAGCCAAAGGGCACCCGTCCCACACGCCTCCCCCAAATCGCGAAGACCTGTCCCGCGGGCCTCCCTCCGCGTGGGGCGGCCACCCGTTGCTATTCCAAAACTCTACGGCTGATCCGAGTCGCCCACACCCCCGTCACAATCGCAGTCCGGAAGGGAAGGTTTGTTCTCGGGAAGGAAAGCCTCGTCACCACTGAGACCTCTCCCGAGACCGGCCAGGCCCCTACAGTACAGGGGCAGAGGGGTGTAGCACGAGCCCTAAAAGAGATGCAGCTGGGGTCCGACCCGCACAAGGTGCTGGGGTGGACCGGGGAGGCGCCTTACCCAGTGGAAAGACTCCCGGACCAAGGGAGAAAGTTACACAGGCTTCCGATCCTGATCCGCCATCAGCCGCTGAACCTCTTCCGCCACCACCGCCTACCCCCAAAGACCGGCTACACCTACCCTCACAGCCGACAGTAGGCCTTGCGTCACTTCCGCCCACGGGGCGGTCTCTTCCGCCTCCTGGAGGGTTCGCCCCGCCGCTCCGCGACGACACGCCCCCAGCCTACTGCGCCGCGGGACGCGAAGCTGGACCCAGGCGTGCCTCCTCTCGCAGGCCGAATGGTTCTCTCCTTCGTTCGTCTTTGCCATTTTCGCTCAGCAAGTTAATCGCAGAAAAACAATGCGTCTGGATTTACATTCTGATTGTATGTTATTATTTTGACATACGAAATGGGGAAACACACCAGAGATTTAAGTAACTCAACCGCGATGTGGAAAGGGCAGCTCAGAGGTCCATGAACAGTACCGTGTCCCTGCCTGCGTCTCAGTCGGCCTAAACTAACCCACCGATTTTATAGATAAGGAAATAGCCAGAGAAGCAAGGGAGTTACCACACGGCTAGGGCTGCAAACACCTAAACTCCAGGATTGTCTCTCAACTCCTGGCCCAGTCCTGTGCTTTTTTGACTACGAAGTTTTGTTCACTGAAAGCTCCTAGGAGCCTTTCAGTTCTAATGCCGTCTGATTCTATTTGCTCTCGCTCCAGCAGAGAGGCCTCTTTTCTACCCGCATTTTTGTGAGTTACCGGCTTTTGTTAGCCATATCATTTTCCGTGTGTGAATTTTGTCCCGCGTTCTGTTATTTCTAAAATCACTTTTGCCTTTTGTATGTATTGCCTTCCTATATTAGACATTCAGTTTGAATCCTAACTTCACAGAAGCCAGTGTGTCCCATTCGAATTCATCATATTCGTCTGTTGCCATAAAACCCTGATAAAACTTGCAATAGCACCTGAAAGGTATGTAAATTAGATCGCGTTAAATGTTGAAGCACATTCTAAATACAGAACATTCAAAATTATCTTTCATATACTTTCATCTTTACTTCCAGTTATTTCAGAAGACATTAGCTTTGATAATACAGGTTCTCAGTATTTACAGACTGATTTCTTTCCTATGTATTGACATTTTTTAACTTGATCTTGTGCTGGGTAGTATACTTGATCATAGAATTTCAGAAGAACCTTAACAGGTCATTTAGTCCCAGTCTCCTTATTTTATGGATGAAGAAAACGGTGTGAATAATCAACTTAAGTTATCACTCGCGTTACTGGTAGCAGCCTTCTGGTAGTAGAAATAACTGTGTCCCTTAAGAAATGTAAACATAGCAGTGAACTTTATAAGCACAATTTGTCAGAGATGTCACTCCTTGTATGTTTAAATCATATTCCTATTCACATGTAATAAATTTTTAATGACCACTAATTTTCAGTTAATGAAATCAGAAAAACAGTATGCTTAATAAAAACCACAATTGAAAGTCTTTTTGGGGGGGCGTGGGGAACGGAGTTTCACTCTTGTTGCTTAGGCTGGAGTGCCGTGGCGCAATCTCAGCTCACTGCAACCTCGGCTCCCGGGTTCAAGCGATTCTCGGGCCTCAGCCTCCCAAGTAGCTGGGATTACAGGCGCCAGCCACCACGCCCGGCTAATTTTTGTATTTTTAGTAGAGACGGGGTTTTGCTGTGTTAGTCAGGCTAGTCTCGAAAGACATTTTCACAGGTATTTTTTACTTTGTTATTCTTAATAATTTCTTGAATTTTTAGACCTTATTTTCCCCAGGAAGGTATTTGTTCTGGAATTTTAACTTGCTTCACTCATTTTAATAATGATCCTTTAATTTTTACACCACATTTTTCCCACCAAGATACATAGATACTCTCTTAGTATTTAACTGAATTTCTGGGTTTAGTGGGGGGGGGTTGGGTTTTTTGTTTGTTTGTTTGTTTGTTTTTTGAGATAGAGGCTCACTCTGTCACCCAGGGTGTAGTGCAGTGGCATGATCTCGGCTCACTGCAACCTCCACCTCCCAGGTTCGAGCAATTCTCCTGCCTCAGCCTCCCCAGTGGCTAGGATTACAGGCGCACACCACCACTCTGGGCTAATTTTTATATCTTTAGTAGAGACAGGGTTTCTCCATGTTGGCCAGGCTGGTCTCGAACTCCTGACCTCAGGTGATCCACCTGCCTCAGCCTCCCAAAGTGCTGGGATTACAAGCACGAGTGACTGCACCCGGCTTTAATTGAATTTCTTAAAGTTAGCCTATTATGTGTATGGCAGTGGACTACGGCTAGAAGAGATATGGATTCACTTCCTTTAAGTGAAATCTTTCTGCCAGAGGGATTTCAGAATTCAGAATTTTTCAGACTTTAGAGAGGTGTGTTTTATGTGACATTTCTCACTATCTGGGGCAGCACCCACAGTCAACTTTTTTTTCCAAAACAATTATGAATATCACACTAAGATAAATGAGGTGTATAGTCTCACTTCAGATCAAGTTTTTCAGGTCAGGTTCTGCCACTTTGCCCTTGGGTTCAGGTCAAGTTTTAATGACAAATGAGTCAGGTCAAACAGGTTTTGCCACCAAATGTTAAGAAAACATTTGATTTTCAGAGGTTTTTTTGTTTTTTTTTTTTTTTTTTGAGACGGGGTCTCTGCCCTCTGCCCTGTCACCCAGGCTGGAGGGCAGTGGCAAGATCTCGTCTCACTGCAACCTCTGCCTCCCAGGTTCAAGCGATTCTCCTTCTGGGATTACAGGCGTGAGCCACCACACCCGGCCAATTTTCAGAGCTTTTCAGATTTCAAAATGGTAAATAAGGGATTGCAGACCTATTGAGAGAATTATTGGAAAGTAAATCAGTGAGTAACCCATGATTTTTCTGGAACAACTACAATTTCAAGTAGTTTGTAGGCAGTTGTCCTGTGTTTTGATTGGGAAAATATGCTGACTATATTTAAAAGACAGTGTTCTTTCATTAGAGGAACTTATGATAGCAAAAGGAAGAAAAGAAATGAGCCCATGAAAATGTAGGTAACTAAAGTGTAAATAAATGAATAAGAAGACAGATATTTAGAGATGAGAGAAAGTACAGGCTAGTGTTAGCAGTACACTTCTCATGGGAGAGGCAGGCCTGGACTGTTAAAGTGAGGTATGATTTTGATGAGGAGATATAGGGGGAGGACTTTCCAGTCAGGATTTAAGAGCTTGGACAAAGGAATCAGGAAGAAAATTGTTAACCAAAAATAATTTCCTCCAAAGTTCATGCATTCACCATTGTGTCATGTTGCTTCTTACTAAGAGCGTTTTGTTCATTTACTATGTGCTCTGGGAAAAACAAGGAATCAAGCATGGTTTCTTCCCTGAAACTGCTTAAAATCAGGTCAAGATATTACAGGATGGTATAGATAACTGTTAAATTTGCAGGAAATGGACTCTGAGAAATAAAGTAGAAAGATATACAGAATAATTTTGAAATTAGCTAGACTTTGTAAAAGAGATTGGGTTCTAAACTTCAAAAGACTGATAAGATTTGAAAAGATGAAGAAAAGGCTTACATAGTGAGAATAATATAATTTAAAAGGCACGGATGGGACAATTAGATAGCAAAACAAGGATTGAAAATTTTTGAAAAAGTTCAAATAGACATATTTTATTAGAAACATTACAGGTTTTAAAAGCCAGGCAAATGAGTTGTTCTCCTTTCTTAGAACAATGGTTTACATTAGAATTTGTATTAAAGATACCTTTTGCTATAAATGATTCTTAATTTAAAAAAAAAAAAAAAAAACCCTTTGTAAACCTTTGTTTTAGAAAGAGAGCTTTTTTTTTTTTTTTTTTTTTTTTTTTTTTTTTTTTTTAAAGACAGAGTCTCATTCTGTCACCCAGGCTGGAGTGCAGTGGCGCAATCTTGGCTCACTGCAACCTCCGCCTCCCAGGTTCAAGCGATTCTCCTGCCTCAGCCTCCTGGGTAGCTGCGATTACAGGCGCGCGCCACCACGCCCGGCTAATTTTTGTATTTTTAGTAGAGATGGGGCTTCACCATGTTGGCCAGGATGATCTCAATCTAAAAAGAGAGGCTTTAAAAATGAGATTTGAATAATGGTAGGCTTTGGATAGGCAAAGAAAGAGAGGATTCCAAACACTCTAAAATAGGGTTATTTTCTCTTTCCCTATCTATTAGATTTTATTGATGTACTCATTGCTCGTTTCCCAACCATTACCTACCTAGATGCTTGTAAAACACCTTTGCTCCTTTGAGGTATACACTGTTGTGTTATGCTCCGTCTTCTTTCCCTGTGGCTGTCATCTTCTGATCTCCAAGTCACTGTTCCTCATTCAGTGAAGACTGTCACCTAGTGCACAGTCTCCTTCTCCATTCTAAGCCATTCATTGTCTACTTGGATGAAATTAAAATGAAAAGGCCAACATCCCAGCATTTTAATTTCCTGAATCCCCCATCTCAAGTACTCCACTCCGCTCCAGATAGCTATTTCTGTGGTCACACCTTGGCCCTTGTCATCATCTTGAAAAGCAAGCCTCCTACTCTTTGACCACAACCTCCTATTCTTCTAACTTGCTCATTCAGATATGCCCAGCAGAACTATTTTTCAAACTCATCAGCATCTCAGTCCATTTCTTCTTTTAATGCTTCCCTCAGTATCCAACTTAGAGTCCATAGGCTATAATTTCATTAACATGACTTCCAACACCATAAATTCCCTTGACTTCCTATCTTGCACATTAAAGAAAATTTCCTATAACAAATGCGTCACGGACTTTGTGGTCATCACATGCTTTACACTAAAGTTTACGTCTGGAAATACTAAGCAGAAACTTTGAAGTTAAAATAGAGTGTTTTGGGAAGTTTCTTGCACTATCAAAAAGAGAAACTGTAATTTATTATACTAAGAAACAGAGCCTGCAGAGGTTTATATTTCAGAAAGACCTTTGCCCCATTGGCTCCTAACAGTGTTCTTTGTTCCTTGTGCAACTGAAAGGTCACTAGAATGTAAATATTCTCTAACCTCTCTTCCTCATCTTACTGAGAAGAGTAATAGCCAGCAAAGTACTTTGAATTTTTAAGGTACTTATGTCAACAAGATTCTTCCTTCCCAGTGTTTCTTATTAAATACCTGTATTTTGTGAGTCACTGTGTATCAATGATAATTGAAGTTAATAAAAATTATTTTAAGGAAATGTTATTAAGATAATCTTCAAATGTTTAATTTTAACCAAGGCTAAATCAAAGTTTTAGGCTCAAATATGTTTTTATTTCACAGATCTCAACACCTCCCACCTTCTCAGGAACTCTACATCATCTCTTTTTTATATTCAAGACCCCCATCTCCACGAGATCTTTTCCGTTGTCTTTTCCGTTGCATTTCTAGCAAGATGCAGAGGGCAGATTTCTAGCAAGTTCCAGATGGTAGATTTCTGGCAAGTTCCAGAAGGTGAGTTTCCAGTAAGTTTCACCAGCTCAGCAACACAAGGACTTCTCTGTGAGACTTCTCTGTGGGACTTTATTCAGGGACCCACAGCCGTGCCCTCTCCAGGGCCTAGATGTCAGCCCTGAGAGGTGATCTTGCTTGGACACTCTATCTCAGTCCTAGGGGTGGTGTCTCTCCTTATATCAGCCATTCTTATATTTTTTAGAGTTCCTTTTACTCCCATTAGCCTTGTGACTCCAATCTCCTGTTATAGTTAATAATTCTTTATATTAGACTTTCCTTGTTCATATCACCTATGTGGTTTTTCTCTGCTATTTGGACCCAGACTGACAAACCACTCTACTGCTTCATTTAGCTTCATAGGTAGAGCCTGTCTTGTTTATTTTTCTTTCTTCCCCTGAAGTAATTGCTCAGAGTTCATTCGGTTCCAGCCAAGTAGGGTTGCTGCCAAAATGTAGGTCTTTGTTGTACTGCAATTTTCTACTGCTACTTGATGTTAATTATGATGCATAGGGGCTAGAATTTCTTCAGTAAGGTATAGTTTAGGTTGCAGAATTCAATGAATGATGATTTATTGCCATTTAGCATTGGGTTTAATAGATGAAAGAAATGCCTTTATTCTCACAAGAGACCATGGCTAGGCTGATCCTGCCATGAGGACAAAAGGAAACATGAAATTATTACTAAGTACTTAGGCTGAGCATCTTTAGAAAGTAATTTGTAATATATTTTATTAGTTAATTGTGAAAATTGGCTTCTGAGGTTACGTAGTGTGATATAGCAAGTTCTAAGACAAGCTGTGAGTAGACAAAATTCCCCTTCGTGAATCTTTCTTTTTCTATACTTTTTCCTCTTTTTCAGGTACCCTTCACAGGTTTAACAGCCCCACCCCTCGGGCACCAAGCAGTCTTATCCAGGGGGAAAAAAAAAAAAACTGATTCTCAGTAATAATCTCTGTGCCTACGAGAAACTTAGTGCAAGTCTTAGGATCTCAAAAAAGGACCTACGAGCATAAAGTAATGAGTCTGTCAAGCGAGGTTTCCATGCATGGGGGGAGGATCTCTTTAAGTAAGGAACCTTCCTTGTGCTTCTTTAAGCACAGTTGCTATCATTCTGGAAGAAGCTCCTTTTAACCCATATCTTCTTCCAACTAGCATCCTATTTTTTTTCTTTCCTTCCCAGCTGAACTTCTTAAGAATCAATCTATATGATGTGATAATATATTTGAGATATTAACCTATTTTTCTTGGTATTTTCCCCTTCTATAGCTTGCCACTTTCCCAACCTTCACCCATAGATATATTGCCTTGAAGAAAGGACGTAGAAGGAAAATCTTTCTGGCTTTTGTTTCCAGATTCTCGAACCCCACAAATGGGGAGAGGATTCAGGCTGCAGAGAAATGGCTTGAGGAGAAGCCAAGGGCAGGGGTATGTAGGTGGAGGGAGAACAGCCAGCATTTTCCTCCCCCTCAACTCTAGAAACAGATTTCTCTGGGCCAGAGAGGATGGGAGGGTACCTCTAGGTGGACAAAAGCACACAGCCCGTTTAACCTTCCTAGGTCTCCAAGACATCCCCTACCCTATCTTAGTACAGAGCAATATTTCAAAATCCTGACAAAACTAGAATGGAGCGGGGCGGTGCGCGGGGCTGGGCGGTGGCTGGGGCGCGTGCTCTCGCGCGGTCGCTGGCTCTGCGCCCTCCCGGGCCAGTGTGCTGAGGCCTCCGTGTCGCCGCTGCCGCCCGCGCCTAGCCTGCCGCGGCACTCCCGGCTGCTTGGCCTCGCCATGCCGGTGGACCTCAGCAAGTGGTCCAGGCCCTAGAGCCTGCAAGAAGTGGATGAGCAGACGCAGCACCCGCTGTATGTCACCTACGCCGGGGGCGGCGGTGGACAAGCTGGGCAAAGTGCTGACGCCCACCCAGGTTAAGAATAGACCCACCAGCATTTGGTGGGATGGTATTGATTCAGGGAAGCTCTACACCTTGGTCCTGACAGACCCGGCTGCTCCCAGCAGAAAGGATCCCAAATACAGGGAATGGCATCATTTCCTGGCGGTCAACATTAAGGGCAGTGACATCAGCAGTGGCACAGTCCTCTCCGATTATGTGGGCTCAGGGCCTCCCAAGGGCACAGGCCTCCACTACTATGGCTGGCTGGTTTACGAGCAGGCCAGGCAGCTAAAGTGTGACGAGCCCCCTCAGCAACCGATCTGGAAACCAACGTGACAAATTCAAGGTGGCGTCCTTCCATAAAAAGTACCAGCTCGGGACCCCGGTGGCCGGCACATGTTACCAGGCCGAGTGGGACGACTATGTGCCCAAACTGTACGAGCAGCTGTCTGGGAAGTAGGGGGTTAGCTTGGGGACCTCAACTGTCCTGGAGGACCCAAGCCCTGTTTCCCAGTTCAGTGTTGCATGTATAATAGATTTCTCCTCTTCCTGCCCACCTTGGCACAGACGACACCTGACCAGTCAGATGGTGGTTGAGGGTGACTTTTCCTGCTGCCTGACCTTTATAATTTTACTCACTCTGATTTATGTTTTGATCAAATTTGAACTTCATTTTGGGGGATATTTTGGTACTGTGATGGGGTCATCAAATTGTTAATCTGAAAATAGCAACCCAGAATGTAAAAAAGAAAAAATCAGGTGGGAAAAAGACCAGGTCTACAGTGATAGAGCAAAGCATTGAAGAATCTTTAAGGGAGGTTTAAAAAGAAAAAAAAAAAAGATTGGTTGCCTCTGCCTTTGTGAACCTGAGTCCAGAATGGTACACAATGTGTTTTTATGGTGATGTCGCTCACCTAGACAAGCAGAGGCTGGCATTGAAGCGGACCCCCAACACGGTGCATCTCAGATGCCTCAACAGGCATCAGCATGTTGCTGTGACCCCTTTAAAGAGCAGTCCTGGAAGAGGCAGGAGGGAGAGTGGCTTTGCTGCTGTTGGGACGTGGCCATGGAGACCGGCAGCAGCGCTCGCTGACAGCTTAGGAGGAATCCTTACATCTTTGTCTGTTAAATTGATTGTTCTTCATGGGAGTCAGAAAAGCTGGTCTGGAGTTGCTGAATGTTGTGTTAATTGTGCTGTTTGCTTATAGTTGAATAAAAATGGAAACCTGAATGAAAACGAAAAAACTAGAATGGAGACTCAAAACAGAAATTGAATTGGTGGAATATATTAAAACATACTTCTTTACAAGCTTGAGTTGTGGGCTAAAATTCATACTGCTACATGTTCATTAATCTTGCATTCCTCACCCCATAAAATGTGCTCAGGCTGGGCATGATGGCTCACGCCTGTAATCCCAGCACTTCGGGAGGCTGAGGCAGGCAGATCATCGGAGGTCAGGAGTTCGAGACCAGCCTGGCCAACATGGTGAAACCCTGTCTCTACTAACAATACAAAAATTAGCCGGGCGTGGTGGCGGGTACCCATAGTCCCAGCTACTCAGGAGGCTGAGGCAAGAGAATCGCTTGAACCTGGGAGGCGGAGGTTACAGTGAGCCAAGATCGTGCCACTGCACTCCAGCCTGGGTGACAAGAGCAAGACTCTATCTCAAAAAAAAAAAAAAAAGTGTGCTCAACCCCCACCAGTCCACTGAAAGTTACCATGATAAGGTCATCAATGACCCTCATTTCCCAACCTACTTTTCAGTTCTCAGACCTTATTCCACAAACTTTTCAACCAAGAAGTTCTAATGATAGAATTGTTCACTCCTTCCTGCTTAAAACTTTTTCCTTATCCCCTTTGGGATACAATTGCATCCTGGTCTTCCTTTTATTTCTTTGAATATGCCTTCTCAATTTCATTTGTGGGCTTCTCATTTTGCAGTTGCTCCCATAAGTACTAATCTTCCTCAGAGTCCAGCCATCAGTCCCTTCAGGTTTAAATTATTTCCGATTATGATTACATATTTTCAATTGCCAAATATACTAATGTATTTATTAATAACTACCAGATCTACCAAATCTCTATCTCCAGCCCGGGCTTTTCTCCTGACATCAACCCTACATCTAATAGATATCCACTTACATGTCACACAAACATCCTAAACCCCAGCTTTTTTTTTTTTTTTTTTTTTTTTGAGACGGAGTCTCTCTCTGTCGCCAGGCTGGAGTGCAATGGCACAATCTCAGCTCACTCAACCTCCGCCTCGCGGGTTCAAGTGATTCTTCTGCCTCAGCCTCCCAAGTAGCTGGGACTACAGGTGCATGCCACCACACCCAGCTAACTTTTGTATTCTTAATAGAGACGAGGTTTCACCGTGTTGACCAGGATGGTCTCGATCTCTTGACCTCGTGATCCGCTGGCCTTGGCCTCCCAAAGTGCTGGGATTACAGGCACGAGCAACCGTGCCTGGCCCCTTTTTTTTTTTTTTTTTTTTTTTTAAGAGACAGAGTCTTGCTTTTTCACAGGCTGGAAGGCAGTGGCACAATCACGGCTCACTGCAGCCTCGACCTCCTGGACTCAAGCAATCTTCCCATCTCAGCCTCCTGAAGATCTGGGATGATAGGCATGTACCACCACACCTGACTAATTTTTCATTTTTTGTAGAGACAATGTCTTGCTATGTTGCCCAGGCTGGTCTCAAACTCCTAGCCTCAAACGATCCCCTCGCCTTGGCCTCCCAAAGTGCTGGTATTGCAGGCATGAGCCACCATGCCCAGCCCCACATTTCTAAAAGCGAATTTGCCATCTTTCTCTCACCTCACCCCCCTTCACCTGTATTCCTTTTCTGTACCAATCAAGGTCCTGGCAGGAAATGGATGACACACTCTGTAAGTCATTGATGAGAGTTTAATGATGGGACCCTTTAAGAATCCTATAAAGTTTCTCTCTAGGAGCAACAACAGAGAGGAGCAACAACAGAGAGGAAGCTGTTATCCCCCAACTAGGTCAGGGAAGCATTTGAGACCTGGGCATGGAGGAAGGGCTCTCTGACAGAAGCTGTGGCCTCTCTCTGATCTCTTGCTAACACCAGTCATTGGCCAAACCCAACCTGAAACCAGAGATAAAAGGAGTCCAGGGATTTGGTCTCTTGAGGTCAGCTCCTTGGGGCAGAAAGTAGTGAGGTAATGAGTGGAGAATAGTTCTGTTGGGGCAAATGGACAATCACCAGCCTATCTCCTCAATGAATGGCAACACCAAGGACCCAGTCTTGCTTGCCAGGAACCTGGGAACTTGTCTCAACTCTTCGCTCTTACTTACTCCACTATATGCAATCAGTCACCAAATCCTGTCTATGTTGCATTCTGAATGTTTGTCACCTTTATCTCCTCCTTGCCATTCCCTACCAGTGTTCCCAGCTCAGGTCCTGATCTCTTTTCACCTTGATAAGTGCACGCATTTCTTATCTAGTCTCTCAGCTTCTAGCATCAAACCATCCCTTTACCATCCCTTCACACTGCTGCTAAAGTTTCTTTCCAAAAGGCTAAGATCTAAGTGCTTTAATGACAAGACCATTCTTTTCTCCCAAATTTCTTTTTCTTTTTTTTTTTTTAGTTTTTAAATGACAAAAGTCATATACCATAACTCCCAAGGAAAGCCAAGCTGAACTGAAGTGTATTAAATATAATGTAAAATCTTCTAAAGAGGTAACCGTTGTTAATAATTTTGTTATGTTTTTCCAGATACATTTTTTTAATTTTTAATTTTGAAATAATTAGACTTACAGGTAGTGGCAAAAAAAAAAAAAAAAAGTAAAGGGAGTGTGCTGTACCCTTCACCCAGTATCTGAGTTGAATTGTGTGCCCCAAAAAGATATGCTTGAGTCCTAATCCCAGGAACCGATGAATATCACCTTATCATTTCAGATATAATCAAGTTGAAATGAGGTCATACTGGATTAGGGTGGGCCCCAATCCGGTGGCTGGCGTTCTTGTAAGAAGAGGGATATTTGGACATAGGTACACAGAGAATCAGAGAACACCACGTGACAACAGAGGCAGACATTGAAGTACTATATGTACAAGCACAGGAACACCAGGGATTTGAAAGAAACCACTAGAAACTGGGGAAGAAGCCAGAAGCAATCCTCCTGTAGACTCTTCAGAGAGCGCGGACCTGCCAGTACCTTGATTTCAGACTTCTAGCCTGCAGAACTAAGAGAGAACAAATTCCTATTATTTTGAGCTATCCAGTTTGTGATAATTTATTACAGCAGCCCTAGGAAACTAATACACTCGGCTTGCCCCATGGTAATATTTAGTATAACTATAGTACAATATCAAAGTAAGGGAATTGACATTAGTACCATACTGTTAACTAGACCACAGGCCCTGTGCAGATTTCACCTCTGACTGATTTTTTTTTTTTAAGAAGGCTTAAAATTTTTTTTATTATTATTATTATACTTTAAGTTCTAGGGTACATGTGGATAACGTGCAGGTTTGTTACATATGTATACTTGTGCCATGTTGGTGTGCTGCACCCTCTGATTTTTTAATCACACAAGTGCGTACACACACACACACACGTCTCTTGCTTTTTAAATTATTTGTTCTCAGTTTACATGAAGTTTAACCATTAGTAACATGACAAAGGAATTTTTTTTCATAAAGAGCACCTTCGAATAAAAAAAAAGACTAACCAATGGAAAAATGGATTAAAATACGTAAACAAGCAATTCATAGAAGGAAAATTATAAACAGTCAATGAACGTGTGAAAAGATGCTGAGCTACACTAATGATCAGGGAAACATAAAATCACAATGAAATGCTTTTCACCATTAAATTGGTACAAATGTAGAGACGTAACAGAAAGAGACCCTCATACTCAGAGAGGTGGGATGTAAATTGGTACAAAATTTTTTAGAGGACAATTTAGCAATATACATAAAATTTAAGATGTTTGTACTATTTGACCAGCAACTGCACTTCCAGGACTCTTGGAAATACTTACACATATGCAGAAAAATATTTAATAGGACTTATTACTTTGAATAGGGAAAACTTAGACAAGCTAAATGTTGACTAACGGGGGAATGGTTAGATTAATTGTGATATGCCCATAATATGTAGCCATTAAAAGAATGAAGTAGACAATCACATATTGTAAGTGAATAAGGAAAATAATAAACAATAGGTATTGGAGAGGCTATGTTTAAAGAGTGTATGCTCTATCTGAATTCACAATCCTGGCTCCACCACTTACTAGTTCTGGAAACCTGTATAGTTTAAATATTTAGTTAACCTTCGGTTTTCTTATAGGACAATTAGAGTGATAATGTTAGTACCCGTGTCAGAGGATTGTGTTGTCAGCCGTAAATATGTTAGTTTACATAAGCAGTATTTCAAAATGGTATCCGGTACACAGATATTATTCAGTAAATGTTAGCTACTACCATTATTATTGTTTATATAAAATACATTTTTTACCAGTATCTTATATATCTATATGTATTTATATCTATCTGTATATATGGAAAGATACATGTAAAATTGTGATGACTTCTGGAAAGGGGTATAACTCTTTTTTCATATGTCTCCTATGTGTCTGTGAAGGAGTGTAACTTTCATCTTCAATAATACATACCTCTGGGCTGGGCGCGGTGGCTCACGCCAGCACTTTGGGAGGCCACGGCGGGTGGATCACGAGGTCAGGAAATCGAGACCATCCTTCCTAACACGGTGAAACCCCGTCTCTCCTAAAAATACAAAAAAATTAGCCGGGCGTAGTGGCAGGCAACCGTAGTCCCGCTACTTGGGAGACTGAGGCGGGAGAATGGCGTCAACCCGGGAGTCGGAGCTTGCAGTGATCCGAGATCACGCCACTACACTCCAGCCTGGGCGACAGAGCGAGACTCTGTCTCAAAAAAAAAATGATAATAATTAATACATACTTCTGTAGTTGACCTTTGTTATTGTTCTTGGCCAATCAACATCTTAACCACCTTGCTTTAGGGAATCCCCCACCTTATGAGGCAGATTTTGTATTCCATTATAAATACTGAAAAGGTAAGAAATGTGTTTTTCATACTCCCTTGTTATCAGGGCCTGGGCTCCACCAGTTAGCTGCATATAGAATTCATTCTGGCCCAGGAGAGGCAGCAGCTCGGTGGAAACTATCGGGTCTCCAGAGGGAGACATGACAGTAATTGTAGCATCAGTTTTAGCAGAACCAGCTG